GAGAGAGAGAGAGAGAGAGAGAGAGAGGGGCATTCAGAAGAACACACATCCATTTGCGTACTCTATCAATTAGATTTGTAAGGAAAGCGTTTTAAAGAAAAGAACATTTAATTATTATTTGGAATTATTTAACCACATTATAAAGAGAAAAATTCACACTGAAAAGACAGGGAGGACAAATGAAAGGACCTCTGCAAGACGAGGGGAAACCCTTTGTATATAAAGAAAAGTTCACTCAAAAATGTATCATTTCATCATTTATTCACCCGAAAAGTGATGTTTGATTTGTGAAAAGATCAAATCTGATCTTTACAGCGAATCTGCTGATCCATTTAAAAAATGTTCACAAATCAACCTGATCAGGTTCTTGAATTCAACTCACTGATTCAGTCGTAGTGGTTCCAGCATTCGGTCTGGGATAACATGAGGGTTCAAGTAAACGCTGATATATTGAAAGATTCAGGAAAATAAAATATTAATATTACTTTAAAATGAACCAGCCTTTCTTAACTGAACATATTCTATCACAAGGTTTTTGGGATCATTTGATAAAAAAAATAATTTAGGAATAGTGCAGTGCATCTAAAAGTCAAGAGTTTCACTCCAATGTCTGAACCTACTGAAAATAAAGAGATATCCTTATACAGACTCATTGGGGAAAGCTGGGCTATTGGGGATCTGTCGATAACATTTCATTAAAGCGGTCCGCTGCTTTATTCCTCATGGATTTCCTGCGCTGTTGAGCTGTATGCCCTATCACAGGGTTCCTCAAATCTTGCCCTGGAGGGCCAGTGCGCTGCAGAGTTTAGCTCCAACCCTTATCAAACTCACCTACCTGTGATTTTCTAATGATCCTGAAGACATTGATTAGCATGCTCAGGTGGGTTTGATTAGGGTAAGAGCTAAACTCTGCAGGAAACCAGCCTTTCTTAACTGAACATATTCTATCACAAGGTTTTTGGGATCATTTGATTAAAAAAATAATTTAGGAATAGTGCAGTGCATCTAAAAGTCAAGAGTTTCACTCCAATGTCTGAACCTACTGAAAATAAGAGATATCCTTATACAGACTCATTGGGGAAAGCTGGGCTAGTGGGGATCTGTCGATAACATTTCATTAAAGCGGTCCGCTGCTTTATTCCTCATGGATTTCCTGCGCTGTTGAGCTGTATGCCCTATCACAGGGTTCCTCAAATCTTGCCCTGGAGGGCCAGTGCGCTGCAGAGTTTAGCTCCAACCCTTATCAAACTCACCTACCTGTGATTTTCTAATGATCCTGAAGACATTGATTAGCATGCTCAGGTGGGTTTGATTAGGGTAAGAGCTAAACTCTGCAGGAAAGTGGATCTCGTGGGCCAGATTTAAGGATCCCTGCCCTATCATATAGAGCAGATGCATAAGTCCTCATTACTTTGTCAGTAATGCAGCAGCAGACAATAGGCAGTGTTTGGGGATTTTTCTTTGTAGATTCTCTTGTTTTGTCCTGAAGGCAAGCATGTTGTGATAATGACTTAGACATAAGGTCTAAATAAGATCTCCTCTTACTCCATTTCTGTTGTCACTGTCCCACTTTTATCAGCCAAGAAAGTAACTTCAAAAAGCAAAGAGAAGAGGGAATGAGAAATCTCTATGCAAAAAAACCTTCACTGTTGGCACTAGCTGGTCAGGGGCCACGGTCAAACCAGAGTCCGCCAAAGCCTGTCTGCCTGGGGCCAGGAGAAGCACTGATTGGCAGCTGAGATTTCTGGGAGTGTGACTGACGGCCCAGCAGATGCCAGAGAAAGAGAGCACAGGGTATACGAGATGTCTCCTCAGCGACCCTGAAAGACTCCTCCTGCCCAGGCTCAAATGTCTGATCTACAGAGAGCTCCACAGATGGATGCTTGACTGACCAAATGGCAACATCCCTGCTGTAGTGATCCTGTCGAGACCGAAGGGGGGCCCATTTCGACTCGCACAGCCCAAACAAACAGAGAAACACAAGCAAATAAACAAAGAGGCCACAAGTACAAGATGTTCCATCATGACTGACTGCTGCCAGTGAAATGTCAGATGGAGAGGGTTCGCACGGTCATGGAAAACCTGGAAACTTTGGAGGTTTTAAAAATTGTGATTTCTAGGCCTGGATAAGTCAGGGAAATTAATAAAATCATAAATAATTTCTGACCCTTTTCTACCATCTACCACTCATTCGCTCTCTAACAATCCTTTGATAAAACTATGAAAAACCTAATAATAAAAAAGTGTGAATTTGGTCATTCAAATTGTGACTTTTGTTTTGGAAAAAAAAGTGATGGCACACATTTTTATGTACAAAAAAAGTATTATGGTTTGATATTGAAGAATGGAGTAAAATTGCTTGAATATTCTGCTTTGCCATGACAGGAATACATTTTATTTAAAAAAAATACTAAAATAGAAAATAATCTATATATAATCTATAATCAAATAAATGCAGCCTTGGTGAGCATAAAAGACTTCTTTCAAAACCATCTTCCAGATTACATTATTTGCTTTTTTGTAAGTCAAGGTAGTGCATAAAATCTTTTGAAGTTGTGGATTAGTAAAGCATAGTGCTTTTTATTAAGCTGTATGGCGCCATGTCATCCATCTATTTGTATGGCAGAGCTTCCATTCAGAATCCAGTGGCTCTAAAGATCTTGAGGCTGATTGGAGCTTAATAAATGGATTAAGTGACTGCTGGAGAAGGTGGTGGCTTCACTAGACTCAAATTAAATCCTTGGCTATATACAAGCAAACAGACATGAGTCACACAAAAATGCAAATACTCATTCATTTACATATAGAGCCGAAAACAACAGTATACCCAGAATGATTCAAGCTAGTTTAAAGTCTGCAAATAAAATAAAATTAAATTAAATTAAATTAAATATGATATATGATATGATATATGATACTTGATGGGTTTTAATAGGTTTAATGACCTTTTTTAACAAAGAATACAGTAAGACTTTACAATAAAATTAAGTTAGTTAACATCAGTTAACTATGTTAAAAATGAATGAAAAATACTTTTACAGCATTTGTTAATCTAGAATAATGGGTCACACTTTCTTGCTATTAACAAACCATTAACTAAAACTTTTAATTTGCAACTTATTAATAGTTAGGTAGTTGTTACGTTTAGGTATTGGGTGGGATTATGGTCATGCAGAATATGTGCTCTGTAAGTACTAATAAACAGCCAATATGTTAATAATAGGCATACTAATAAGCAACTTGTTAGTGAGAACTGGTCCCTATACTAAAATGTCACAGAATAATGTTAATTTCTGCATATAGTAATACATTTTAATATTTGATTTTCCTTTGCTAACATTAGTTTATTAGCAAACATGAATTAACAGTGAATACACTGTTCTTTAACTATTACATACAATAATAAATGTTCTAAGTCCGCTTTCCATCCATTTTTGCACTAGATCTGTTAATGACAAAGTGAAACTTTTTTTTTTTAAGTTTG